GATGGAGGCTAGTCTCTGGGAATGATTGCTTTACTTTTGCAACTTTACAGAAACCTGTTAGTAGTTCATTCATTTAAACCTGATGAGTGGCATTAGAGATACATCTAAAATGTGGTTCACAGCAGATAATGAGCACCACTAGAATAAGGAGGAAACTTTATCTTCCTAAAACTGGCTAATGTTGAAGTTTAAAAATATATATATGCACCGTAACATCAGGGAGCGATCCAAGACAGACATCCAGGCTTGCTGCATTAAATGCTCTACTCTCCTCAGAGCTAAAGCACTCTGCTATTAGCCTAAGGCAATAAAAAATGCAATAATGTTGGAGTTTAGTGCCGCTTTACAGGCATTGGGTCATTATTTTAGATCTTCTCTGAAACTCCTTAACATGATAAAGTTTGATAAAATGCATTTTATGAGGGGAATTACTGAGATCGGACCACTGAACCACCCAGTGTTGAAGGTAAACATCCACAGATACCTTGATAAAAACTTGTCTAGGATGCAGTTTATGAAGTTATTAAATACAGTGAATGCAGAAATTCTTCTAACAATTTGTTTCCTTTTTACAGGACACTCTGAAGACCATTGGTCTGAGTCCAGCTAAATAAAAGTAAATAAAAGAATGGCGAGTATTACCCAACCTTTTCATATAAGACAACTATTTTAATGGATAAATGTCTGCTGTAGGATAATATGTTGCTGTTTTAAAGAATTAACATTTGATTTATATTTTTAGCATTTGGAATAAAAAGAAACCCAAAACATTTCTATAAAGAGGAAACATGGATTTTCTTGATGTTTATATCTGACTTAAAATATAGATCTAAAAAACATATTATTGGTTCCTTTTCATGTCATCATGGAATTTCAGTGTAATCACTCTTGAAAAAAATCTATAAAAATATACTGTATTAAAAAAAATTTCTTTAGTTCTCAATAATTTTTAGCCTCGATTAAGAACCATAGAAGAAGATCCAAACAGCCAAATGTGGCTCTGGAGCGACAGGTTGAAGACTAATCTTCTGTTTCCCTTGAACAGAGAGGATTTTTAAGGGGGCGATAACACCATGTGATGGTATGGTATTGGACTCGTTTCACGCCACATCCAGAGAGCGGACCCTGCTGGGGCTAAAACTAGTGTTGCGGCGATGCCATTTTCTGGCCCCTATACCGATACCCAATACCTGGCTGTGCTGTATTGGCCGATACCGATACCATCCGTTTGAAATTTTTGTGTGTGTGTATAAATGAAGAACTGCATACTACTTGGATGTAAAATAATTGCCATCATTGCTTTGTCAAGCTGCTGCCTACCTTTGTGAAGCAGGAAAAAGACTAATATAAAGTGAATCCAGTAGAACTTTTTATTGCCTACCTGGAATGGGTGACAATAGTTGAAGAATCTTTTGGCTCTCAAAATGGTATTGGTGCCCTATTTGTTGGTACTCTCCGATACCAATACCACCATTTTAGTGCTGGATCAGGACCCTGCCCGATACTGGTATCGGTGCAACACTAGTTAAAAGCGTCCCAAAGGT